GAACGCTTCCACTGACTCATTACGTCGGCCAGCAAACTGTGCTTTGCAGCGGGCTAAAGTACTTTCGCCTGTCGTCGGGACTGGAGTCGATGAGTTTCCGCGCGTAACGGAGAGTAGCAGATCCCGAAAGGCTTCCGTTTGAGATCTTTGTAGTGAAGCTATGATTGATGCAACGTTGTCATTAGTGAACATCATGTCGGCGATGTGAGGAGCGGCACCATCGGAGTCACGGCGTTCGTCGTCGCGCGCCGGCGACATCATGGGCGGTCGAGGGTTGGGGTATACGGGCTGTTGCGCCGCATCTTCTCTATTTCCCCCACCTGCCGATCTACTTCTAGTGTTCATGGGCATCCTGGTTTCTTATTACGTTGAGCGTCAGCTGAACTTTTAAGCCAATTTACGTAACAACTACACCAAACGCGTTGGAAGTCAGTTTACGTCACTACTACACCAAACACGTTGGGAGCCAGTTTAGCTCGGCGGGAGCTGAATGGGGTGGGCGTAGTAGGTGGCTTGTTGAAACACCGAGGCACAATCACAAGTTTTATTAATTTGTAAAACGCCGTTTACACACATTTAGGTATATAAATTTATATCAAAGTGATACGTGCTCACTCGAATGCGCTCCGGCTCGCACTAACTAAAATGGCGGGCGCATGGACGACCGACGGCTACGCAGGCCGGGCGTGGTAGGTATGTACTGGTTAACACCGGTTAGTTAAGGGATGTGCACAGACAATATTTATGTAAGGGCGGTCTCACGCTACATATTTTCAATTAATATTTTCGATGATTTTTAATTTTATTTTATTCTGTTATAATGTATACAATTTGTTATTCTAACCAAACGCGTAAGAAACAACAAAGTGTTGTGCTTTATAAAAAATGAGAATGAGCTTTGTCAAATGAAAAAAAGTGATGCCTAGGAATAACTATGTAACCAGAACGTTTCGCTGTAGTCTATGTAAAAAACACTCCTAAAAATAATTGCACGAAGCATGATAACACAATTTTTTGTGTGTTATGTAATGCAAATCGAACGAAGTGCATTAGCGTGCCATCATAGAACGTGATCACCAATACTCTTCTAATTCAATTTATTATATTTACTAAGTAGCGACAATATAAGTAATAATATGAAATGTTTAAGTTTTATTATTAAATAAATTGTGTTTTGGCGCCGGTTTATCTCTTAACATAAGCCAGGAAACTTAAGAAAAAAAATTACGTGTTTTATTCTTTTTACATAAGTGTCGGTGAGGAAACTTTTCCAGGTCTATTGTTGAATTAAACTACAGCAAAAAACATAAAAATGATCTTGGCCACGGGTCGCCCAATTAAAAGTATAATTTTGCCCATTATCTTTCTCATTTTTAAATCTGTTATTAATAAACTATTGATCTATAAATATTATATAGTTGAATTATGTATTCATATTAGCTGGCTTAATATTCGTAATCGTTAAAGAAAAAAGTATTTCAAACCGCGTCCTGTACATTTACTACTCAATAATGTCTATGAACGATGAGCTGAAACTCGCAGAGTCAACACGTTTTGACTAAAGATAGGCAAAGTATTCCTACTTTCTTACCCGCCATTAAGGAGAAAATGCCCAGGCCCATTATTGTAAAAAATAGACGTTTTATTTTACAACTTTAACATGTACTATAGTAATGACGAACGAACGATTAAAAAAATTATAATCATTACCAACTTCTTTCCAAGTCCTTTATTTCTAACTTATCCATCACCTAAAGACGTGTCAAAGTAGTGACATGAAATGAAATATCATCATAACATCGATAAGATGTATCTTATGGAAAATCAAGACTAGATAGGCAGTCGCAACCCTGATGACAATACTCGCATACTATTAAGCTGGACCCGTTTTGGGACAAAAGTTTTCCTTCTTCATGTGATTAGGAATTTCTCACTTAATTAGAGCATTTGCAGAATGACTGCATCAGATTTATTATTAAGCTTCGTAAATTCGACCACGTGTCTCAATTCCGCTCCAAACTCAACTGGCTCTCTATTCACCGGCGCAGAGACTTGCACACTCTAACAGTTCTTTATACTATACTTTTCCTGCTATCTACCCCACCCTATCTCAAGCATTGCGATCCTCTTCCAATCTTACCCTAAAGTTTCCTCACCACACAACTGACTTCTTCTCTTATTCCTTTTCTGTGCACGCTTTCCGGCTGTGGACTTCTTTGCCAAAACTATCAGGATAGCTCGCTCACTAAAATCATTTTGTGATCAAGTTAAAAACCATTTCCTTACCAGATCATGAATATTTATCATAATTTACACTTTTATTTAATATATCTATTATACTTATGTTATAGTTTTTATTCGACTCGACGCACCCTTAGTCGATATCAAGCTTTAAATTATTGTAACAAAAAACTGTACTTAACAAGTAATAGTTTTCGTTAAATGCTAAGTGGAAAACGAACATACTTATTAAGAGGTTGGATAAACTGCATTAATGACAATTGACATTGACATTTGACATACTTTGGAAATGGCGGGTTTATTTAACTTTTCGTAATCTAATTCTAGTGACTTTATATTTGAAAGAATCATCGCCATCTTTCATTCATTTCATTTTCATTTTACATGTAGAAATTAATTTATTCACCTGACATTGGCATAATTGTGCGAAATGCGCAGATACGCCATTAATAAAAGAAGAAGAAGACTTTAGATTTTTTTTATTAATTTTTATTTTACATGTAGTAATTAATTTATTCACTTGACATTGGCAGAATTGTGCGAAATGCGTAGATGAATAAGACTACAATGCAAACAATAGCATTTTATCAATATTTATCCTTTCCGTGTAAGTATTCTATGTAGATTAAAGATTTCTATTGGTGTTTTGCATTTTTCTTTCTGTTATGTTCTGTTTGATTCAAAGACATTAAAGTACTTTTAATATCAAAACTTTCCAATAAGACATCTCTGTGTTAAACAAAACGGGGAGAGAAAATTAGCCCTTGCTGAGTTTCTTGCCGATTCCATTCAGTACAGTCTCCGGCCGTAGTTGTGCGAACTGTTGACTTAGTTTTCGACTTTCACAGGTCCTATGTAACAGCCTAGACTGAATAAACGATTCTGATCTTGATTTCGTTTAAAACGTTTTCTTTTTGGTACAATATAATGTATCAACTGTAACAATTTGTCTTTGGCGGTTTTAAAGTAGACTTGATTTTGTTGTATAAACTTCGCGATTTAGGAAATGTACAGGCATGGTAGCGGCATAATATTTAATGTTTTAAAACAAATCTTTTTATTTTTTTACACACCTTATCAGTATGTGATTTCCAATCCATTTTTTTTTAATTAATTTTGATATCACGAAAAGGCTTCGTTTACATATCATCTCAGATAGCATGCTACTTGGGGCAAGTTTGATTTTTATTTGATTCTAAATTGCTGCGTCAAATATACGAGGCAAGTTAGTGACAATCATCATCAGCCCTTTTACGTCCCCACTGCAGGGGCTCAGGCCTTCCTTGTGGATGGTTAAGAAGGATGGGCTATGACCCTCCACGCTGGCCCAATGCGGATTGGAGGGTATTAACGACTGCAAATGCAGCCGGGACCAACGGCTTAACGTACCTTCCAAAGCACGGAGTAGCTCCAGATAATAATTTTTTGGTCACCCATCCCGTGACCGACTCTTGCGAAAGTTGCTTAACGATAACGATCGTGGGCTGCGGCGCTTATCCACTACGCCACCGAGCTACTCTTAGTGACAATGTCGCGGCAATATTGTTATGTTAAATATGATGTTTCAAGTTTGCGACAATATGTAACACACCCACCATCTTCATAGGTGCCCGAATAGTTCTAAGTCTGCAAACTAGATGGCGCTGTTGATTTAATGCATTCCGGTATCAGTTTATATTGTTAGATTGTATAAGTAATATGCCCTTTCATGCAATCTTCAAAAACACATTCCGCTCTCAGCTTTCGTTGCACGCCCCCGTGCGCGTACATGACTCTCTTCTACCCAAACTGTGAGTACATCTCGTGCTTTCTGCACACCCCGAGCGCAGGCCCTGCTGCTTTTGTTTTTCTCACAACATTAAAACTGTAGGACTTGACTCACTATCAACTTCTTGAGTCGGTGGATACCATACGGTGGCAACTAAGCCGGCTGAGCGATCCCGGTGCGCTCGCTAAGGCCCCTCAGGCTTTAGCAACACCGAAGACCTGATCCCAGTGCACTTGGGTCTTGTCCCAAGGGTGAAAGTTTGCCGCTAATTCCATTAGGGATAGCCGAATTTTTCCGCGTCCCCCTTCCCCCCTCGCTCCGGCGCGGAGTTGGTTTTTTGCACACTCGCCCTATCTCCCTCTAACCTACCAAGGTAGGTGTGACGGAGAGAAGTGCGAGTGAAATACAACTACTCCTCTCTCTCTTGCATTTAACGGTTTGCATTGCCGACATGTCCGATTTGCTCAATAAAGAATACTCCCTCGAGGAGCTACAACGAATCCTACCCGATAACCTCTTCCAAGTCATCCTCCGCGCGGCGATGTTGAAATCCCAGGCATCGCCGCCCCCCTCAACTTCCGTCATGGAGTGCGAAAGCACATCCATAAAGAGGACCGCTTCACAGCGACCCCCCCCACCCCCCTCGCTGTCGGACGACGACCTTCTCAGGACGTCCGATTCCGACGAATCCACCAACTCCTTTCATGCGGTGAGAAGCCGCAGGAACCGTCGTAAGCCACGCTCCCCTAGAGCAAGTGCGGACGCTTTCTCGGAAAACGTCACTCCCAAGCCCAGCACATCGGGCGGTGTGTCCTCGGTAAGCGATACCGCCGAGAAAACCTCCCTCGGCTCAAACCTTACCAAAGACAATACTGGCAAGAAAGCCACTCGGGAGAATACTCCTAGTATTACTCCCTCCCTCACCCCGCAGCGGCTGCATAATAAATGCGCTCCACAGCCGGGTAAACCCAAACCTCCACCTCCCGTATTCATGCGGGACAAATCAAGGTGGGCAGAGGTCTCGAATCTCTCCACATCCAACAAGATAAACTACACCCATGCAAAAAACATGGGTATAGCTATCCGTGTCGAAACACCCATTAGTGAGGACTACAGAGCCCTCACTAGATTTCTAACCTACCACAAGGTGGGTTATCATACTTTCGCTCTCCCAGAGGAGCGTAAAGTTCGTGCGGTTCTGAGAAATGATCCGTACGAACTCGCCACCAATCTGATCCACAAGGATCTAAATGAACAAGGCTTCCCCGTGGAGTCTGTTTATAAAATGCATAGTAGAGCCGGCAGGCCCTTCCCTCTGGCTCCAATTCGCGCTCGCGACATTTTCAAGGCCAAAGACCTTAGGGTCTGCGGCCTTACCGGGGTTAAAGTAGAACCCCCTCACCAACGTGGTACCCCGGGTCAGTGCCACCGATGCCAGCTTTACGGGCATGCGGCGACCAACTGTTCCGCAACTTCGAGGTGCGTAAAGTGCCTCGAGTCACATCCCACAAAGGAGTGCTCTCGAACTCGAGACACTCTCACCCCTCCGGCCTGTGTACTGTGTGGCCAAATCGGCCACACAGCCAGCTATAAAGGTTGCCCACGAGCGCCAAAGCCCAAACCCTCTTCAAAGAAGAAGGGTAAAGGCCCGGCGGTCAACAAAGCACCCAAAGCTTCCCCCCCGCCCACTGCGGCGAACTTCCCCGCCTTACCAAAGGCTACGCTCCTAAATCGGTTTCACAAGGGATATGGGGCCCGCCCCAACCCTCTCAGACGAAGCCCTCACCAAAGGCTTCTATCTCTCCTCCCAAAACCGCTCCTGTTTCTTCATCTATAGCCGATGACATAAATCTAGTTCTTAACTTGATTCGTGGAATTGACATAAATGAAATCTCCACCCTAGCGGCTAAGCTCCGCCGCGCTTCGTTCACGCAGGAACGCCTTCTGGCGCTCTGTGAACATCATCATCATCATCATCATTTCAGCCGAGAGACGCCCACTGCTGGGCATAGGCCTCCCCCAAAGATCTCCAAAACGATCGGTCCTGCGCTTCCCGCATCCAGCGGCTTCCCGCGACCTTCACCAGATCGTCGGTCCACCTTGTGGGTGCCTGCCAACACTGCGTCTCCCGGTACGCGGTCGCCACTCCAGGACCTTACCGTCCCAACGGCCGTCACTCCTGCGAGCGATGTGCCCTGCCCACTGCCACTTGAGGTTTGCAATTCTTTGGGCTATGTCGGTGACTTTAGTTCTTCTGCGGATCTCATCATTTCTGATTCGATCTCGCAAAGATACCCCGAGCATAGCCCTTTCCATTGCCCTCTGAGCGACCTTGAGCTTCCTTATGAGGCCCATCGTAAGCGGCCACGTCTCAGCACCGTATGTCATCACTGGCAACACGCACGAATTAAAGACTTTTGTCTTGAGACACTGCGGTAGATGTTCCGAGAATACACTGCGTAGCTTCCCGAACGCTGCCCAGCCGAGTTGGATCCGTCGACTTACCTCTCTCTGGAAGTTGGACTTACCTAATCGGACTATCTGTCCCAGGTAAAGGTACTCGTCGACAGCTTCCAGTGTAGAGCCTCCAACATTCACTGGAGTGGGTACGACATGGGAGTTTGACATTATTTTTGTCTTCTCCATGTTCATTTTAAGACCCACTTGCTGGGAAACTCTACAGAGGTCTTCGAGCATTGTGCCTAGATCTTCCATGGTCTCAGCCATGACTACGATATCATCAGCAAAACGAAGGTGCGTCATGTACTCGCCGTTTATATTGATGCCAAGTCCTTTCCAGTCCAAAAGCTTAAACACGTCCTCCAGTGCGGCAGTGAACAATTTTGGCGAAATAACGTCGCCCTGTCTCACTCCACGCTGAAGTCGTATTGCTTTCGAGTTTTGGTCCATGAGCCGAACTGACATGGTGGCATTTTCGTACAGTGACTGCAGCACTTGGATGTATCGATAGTCTATTTGGCACCTCTGGAGTGACCTAAGCACGGCCCAGGTCTAGACGGAGTCGAAGGCTTTCTCATAGTCCACAAACGCCAAGCATAGTGGCAGATTATACTCTTCGGTCTTCTGTATAACCTGTCGCAGCGTATGAATATGGTCTATGGTACTGTAACCTTTTCGGAAGCCGGCTTGTTCAGGAGGCTAGAAGTCGTCAAATCTACGTGCGAGACGATTCGTGATGACTCTCGAAAACAGCTTGTACACATGACTCAGAAGCGTGATGGGTCTGTAATTCTTCAATTGGGCCCTGTCGCCCTTTTTGAAGAAAAGCACCACCACGCCCCTGTGCCATGCTTCTGGCGTCTTGCCTTCGAGTATGGCAGAATTAAATAGCTTCTGAAGCGCTTTTCGGACTGGTAGTCCACCCGCTTTCAGAAGCTCCGCTGTGATTCCATCATACCCCGGCGCCTTGTTGTTCTTGAGCTGTTTGAGAGCCACACTAATCTCGTATAAACTGACGTCCGGGATGTCTTCGGTGTAATGTCGGGTTAATTTGGCTCTAGGGTCTGTAGCCTCAATGACAGGTTTCTGTGATGTTGTGTATAACTGTCCATAGAAGCGTTCGATCTCCGCCACAAGCTCAGGACGGGATGTAACGACTCTGCCGTCCTCTGTCTTTAGCTTCGTCAGCAAGCTTTGTCCGAGAGACAGATCTCTAGCGAACACTTTGGAGCCTTTATTCCGCTCAATCGCCTCCTTAATACATTGAGTATTAAATTGGCGTATGTCGCGTGTGAGAGACTTCGAGATCTGTCTATTGAGTTGCCGGCGAGCATTCTCAGAAGACTGCAGAACCATTTCACGCCTTTCTTCCATTAGCTTGCTTGTCTGCTCCGAGATCTTGCTTCTTTTTTGAGTACGGCGAGGTTTGAGGAATTTTGAACCCACCGTAAGGACAGCTTCTACGACCCTGTCATTGTATTCGTCCACATCCGAGCAGCTCTCCAGGCAATCGAAGCGGTTTTGAAGTTCGAGCTGAAAGTGCTCGGGGTCCCGGATCTGGGTGGCTTCAGGACGGAGCGTAGACTTCACCAGTCGATACCGTTCAGCTTTTACATTTAGATTCAATGCGCCTCTTACCATACGGTGATCGCTTCCCGTATTAAACGAATTGATCACTGAGACGTCATTGAATATCCGAGTCTTAGTCGACATGATGAAGTCGATCTCGCTTTTTGTCACACCATCCGGACTCTTCCAGGTCCACTTTCGATGCAAACGTTTTTTGAAGAAGGAGTTCATCATATAGAGTCCTTCCCTCTCCATGTAGTCGGCTAGCATTTGACCACGGTGATTCCGGATCCCAGATCCAAAATGCCCCACCTTCAACTCCTCATCGCCACGCTTGCATAGCCTTGCGTTGAAGTCTCCCATGACAACAGTGTAGTGGGTCGTGGATCCATGTATTGCCCGGGAAATATCCTCATACATGGCTTCCACTTCCTCGTCGGGGTGCGTCGAGGTCGGGGCGTAAATCTGTATGACCTTCAGCGAATACCGTTCGGTGATTCTGAGTATAAGGTACGCCACCCTATTCGATACACTTCCGATCTGTACAATATTGTTCACGAGAGACTTGTGGACGATAAACCCGACGCCACCTTGGGACAGATCTTCGCCGTCCCGGAAATAGAGCAGGTTGCCGGATTTAAGGATCATCGTGTCCTCGCCCTCTCTTCGGACTTCGGATAATCCTACAATACTCCAACGAATCCTGCCCAATTCCTTCTCTAGTTCCAGCAGCTTCTCCTCGGTCCGCAGTGTGCGTGCGTTGTAGGTTGCCAGGGCCAAGGTCGTTTGACGGGGGATCTTTGCCGCCCGGGGATTCTTCGCACCCCTGGTGCCTTCGCCGAGTCGGCGTCCGTCCGCGCCAGCACGGCTTACGGCACCGCCGGGCACTCGGGGCCTTTCGTTTGGTTCAATTTTGATCTCTGAGGGGTTTTGGGCCGTCTCCCACCACGCTGGCCCAATGCGGGTTGGTGGGGAGCGCCAGAGCCTCGTTGGTTAGTCGGCAGGGTGTACCGCGTGCAGGTGAGGTTGGCTTGGGATCCGTTAGATGTTGTTCGGACCCCCTTACACCCCATGTTCTGCTCTGTGAACACGAATCGTTATTAAGTGCTTTATCATAAGCACTAATAACATGTTAGGTTTCCCAAACCTCCCACAATCCATCCTTTGGCTGACCTGGACCTCATATCGAGACCCAGTAGGCCAATTCCACCCCCATCATACTGACCCTTCAGGTCAACCCACTCTGCCCTCTCAACCTGACATCCCCTCAGGATGCAGGCCACAAAAATAGTTACGGGCGTCAAATAGCACCCTTCTGGTGGTATGTGATGCTCCCCTCCCCGCCCTCCATACGCCGACCCTTCAGGTCATACCCCCGTCCGATCTGGCTGATCGCTCCCCTTCAGGGAATCAGCTGTATTACAATCCGATGAGCCGAACCCCCCCGCGGTTAACGGCTAACGGTAGACGTCACTATTCACGTAGGTGAATAGTGACGTCTGCGCCCTCTCCCCCCTTGCGGGGGAGGGTCGCTCCGGTCGAAGGTTTGTTGCCTCCGGGCATGTAACCAGCTGTCCAAGGTGGAAAACATCGTTTAGTCTGTTGGAGTCTGACATAACCTCACAGCCGCCTGTGTGGTATCCAATGAAGGATTCACCGCCTCCTTCCCCCGTTGGGAGGGTGGTTCCGACTCCGTTAAGGTTGAGAGCCGAAAAAAAGTGCAATCTTAATATGAGATTCGAAAACAAGCGTTCCAGCACGCGTAACATGACAAACTCGAGAAACGCTTTGTCTACACTCATTTGTCAGTTTCTCGGGTCGAGAGTGAGATATATTATGGGCGCACCCGAGAAAAGACGTTTGACGTTTGAGTGTAGACATGGTGTAGACAAAACGTTCTCGAGTTCTCGTCGTGATAACTTTGGCTCTTTAGCAGGCTCTGTGCTGTAGTCTGAGTAAAGTACTTTTTGGTCCGAGTTTTAAGTCGCAACTCGCAATCACTTTTGGACTGGGGATGATCGATATTGACATCGATGTTGGAAAACATCGATTATTTTTTGCAATAATTTACAAAGAAATGGAATACAGTAAAATCTTTCGAAAATTATCAAGATACAGGATAAGTTATTACATATTCCCATATTTTTTTATCAACTGATTGAAGGAAAACCAATTTTGATAAATAAGTACCTTTTAATCTATTTCTTTGTTGATAAAGAGTAGTGCCAGCTTTTGTAAACATGTATGTAAAATATGTATTTCAAGATTTGTATGTATTACATACATAAAACATCGGTTTTCTTTTTATCTATCTAAATTTCGATGTTTTTTTGGTAATATCAATTAATTTGAATTGATATTAATACTATCAAATATCAAATAATGTATTGGTCGTAAGGCCGCCGTTCTAAAGTACAATTTTACTGAGCAAAGAAATAATTTATCATACCTGTGTTTTCGATTCCAAAGTTTCATTATTATTAATTACAAAATAAAGCAACTTAAATTCACGTATTTCACTTTCGCATCACACTTGTCTTAGTGTCACAAGAAAATCACGCGAGAGCTAAGAGAGAACGAGCACAACGCGCATAAAAAAACTTATAGGGTACCAAAGACCGCTGAAGTTGACAGATTTATTTTTAACTTCCTTGGAAAATACAAGGAAAGAAAAATATATTTGTTTGATTACTCCAGTTACGGGTGCAACCGGTGACATCTAGTGTAAAAAAGTTGAACTTGATATACGAGATCATCTAGAGCACGTTAGATGACCCTAAGGATATATTGAAATTTTATTCATAAACATCGATGAATATCGATCATCCCTATTTTGGACCAAATGTTTTGAGTAATCAAAAGATTAATAAAAACTTATTAAACTTAAAGTAATATTTGCCTCGAAACCTGTATTTCAGGTACTCTAGTAACCGAGTACCTGCTATGCAAGTATACCTAGGTATACTTGCACTACTTTGATACGTCAAAGGTAGTGCAAGTTTGTCACACTGACATTAGAAAGTTTGATTTAAACTGCGCATGTTGCTGCAGATGTCATAGCAAACTTGGAGCAAGTCTTCTTTTTTGACGTATCAAACTTGTTGCAAGTCAGAAACAAGTTTGAATTGCTTTCTGGGATATACCTGTAATTACAATAGTAATACCAATAGTTATGGCAGTACAATACATTGAAGAGACCGCTGCTTATCTAAAATTATTTATAAATATCAAATGCAATAAAGTTCTTGGGTTGAAGCTTTTGTTATTATTATTATTTTTTTTTTAATGACTTAAAAAAATCTGTAAATAACATAATCAATGATTAAAGTCTAGATCGTTGGTTGATACATAGAATTTCACTTTACGCGACCAGTAGACCGTAATCTAGCTATAGCTCATATAAGCCATAGGATTTAGGAGGTATTTCGATTAACATGTCTTTTGGTTTATAAATTCGGGATAAATGACTTATTTGGTTATTTGTTATCAAATCCATACTCATATTTTTTTATCCTTCGTTCGTCGTTAATAAAGTACGAGTACATGTTAAAGAAGTAAAATGAAAGGAAATATCGATACATCGCTAAGATGTCGTATCCTATGGCTAGAGAGTGAGGCGGTCTCACCCCGGCGAGCGAGGACGCTAGCGGAAAGTTAATATTTGTAGGAAAATAAACTATATAGATATAAACAAAAAAAAAAGAACTATTCAGTTATTTTAATAATAATAAATACTCTTTATTGCACAAACCATATTAAAATTACATAGACAAACATAAATCAATACATGAAAACGCACAAAAGGCGGCCTTATCGCTAGGCAGCGATTTCTTCCAGGCAACCTTGCATTGGATGGAAAAAAAAAATAAACATTAAATGGCAGATTGTGCATAAAAAAAATAACAAATCAGGGCATACAAAATAAAACCAATTAAAGTTGCAACAGCAAAGTATCATAAAAAAAAAGTACATATAGACAAACAAAATGTTCAAAACACAAGTGACAACCAGAACGCGAGAAGTGTAAAAAGAAAGAAAAATTTGTCTAATAAGAACAATGTCAAATTAAAAAGAATCCAATTAGACCAAGCAAATTAAATTGTGACTCAAGGAAAAAATTATGTTCATATTAAAGGTAATTTATGTGCGTTATGGCCTAAAGACATTTTACCTGGATGACGTAATCGGACGGATGCATCGTTGTTATAGTTTTATTTATGTAGCGATATGTATAAAAGGTTACCCAACAGTCTGTTCTGATATATCCAGACTTGGAGCCACGAAAGTAGCATTTTTATCTAAACATGATTGTTCAGATCGATTACATATACATTATTACGTTATAGAATGAGCAGAATGTATAGGTGTACTGGGCCCGTTTTGCTATCTGATTTCATAGTCTAGGACAAGTCAAGGGTTGTGGGTTGTAATGTTCCATGGGTTCACTTCGACTATCAACAGATGTCTCTAGTGTCTTCATCAACAGCCATACGACGCTCACTACTCATAGGCCTCTTTTATAGATTTCATTGGTCGGCGCTAGTGTCTTATATTGATGATTTTATTTTTGAATTAGAAAAAAAATTAATTTCCTTTTATAAATGAGAACCATTTTGGACACTGCATAGTCAACAATTATACCCAACGTTCCACCTCAATCAAGCATTTAGTGTTTGAACACGTTTTATGGCCCCAAAAAAGTGACTCACCAACAAGTAGAAAGTGTGGTACATTACATCTGACGTCAGCCTTCACCGTGAGCTAAGGCAATTGGAGATCCCGCACCCCCGCAGCTTCCTAAAGGAACTTTATTAAGTCCCCTTTTGTTTTTGTTTTTCAAAACAAAGTTATTTTTGCAATATACATTCAACACTAAAAACTCTCATGAACCGAATCAAAAAATTAGATAAAATTTAAATCGGTAATATTATATTAAACACTACCAGAAAAATTAATAATATGTATTTATTTTCATCTAAAGTCTACACCCGTATTGCACATCAAAAACTGGTTTTCTTTATTTTTCACTTTACGATTATTCTTTAAGTGCTGCGTCCTGTATAAATCCGTTGGCTACAAAGTGACTCAGGTATTTTATCGATTCTTTTTTGTCCTGCCCATATTTATCTACATCGGCGCTGGGCTCTTCGGTCTAGGAGCCTAAGTGTCTAATTTAAAGATCTATCGCTATCCTCTCAATTCGACATTTAAAAGATTTTCTCGAACTTCACGCTACGACCATTTGAAAGGTGATCGGAATAGTCTAAGCAAAGCAAATAATACTTGAAAGCTGTTGTGAAATGTCACGTGAAAGAGTTACACGACGGGTATATCTAAGTTATTAGTGTTTCTTGCCACTTTAGAAGTTAAACAATTCCATACATTTGAAAGGGATTGCATAGCTTTTAAAATTAGAGAATTAGCTCACAGGGTTTTCTTTGTCAATACTGGACTACCATGTGCAGAATATTCGCTACTGACCTCGGGATAGTTAAGAAATATAAAAGACACTTATTGGTCAAATGACTTTATAAAAGAGGGTAAAATAGAAAAAATTGTGTATGTATGTGATTTTTTTAGGGTTCCATAGTCAACAAGGAACTATAATAGTTTCACCATGTCCGTCCGTCCGTCCGTGGTTTAGCTTGAAAACTATTGGGACTAGAAAAAAATGGGGTATTTTCCCTTAGATGTAAAGTAGGGATTATATTTATTTAGTCTGGGGCAGGGGATTTTTTAAGCATTTTTTATTATAAAAACAAATACATCTATAAAAAGTATTTTAGTTAAAAAAAGGTTATTTTTTTTTATATAGTTAAAATGAAATATAACGGTCGTAAAATCGATCCATTACACACATTCAGAGTCATCTTTGCTATTTTTTTTTTCTATCGAGTCAATTCTTAAAATTGGTGTTTTTGTTTTTTTTTTCGAACAATCGAACATATGTTCAATTTTCATAAATGATTTTTATTAGACATATATTAGCATGAAAATTGGTTTGAAAAAATGATAATTTCGTAAAATATTGCCTTATCATTTTAGATGTGAGGGCACCCCTTAAAATGTTGTGTAATTTTGTTTAAATTGAATCGAAAACGGATAGAAAATGGATCTAAACCGAACGAAACTACAGTTTTTAATGGTTTTCCTATTCTACAAAGAGACATACCATACAATTCCAGTTCTATTTTAGCTAGAATAGTATCGTATGTCACTTAGTAGAATAGAAAAATCATTAAAAACTGTAGTTTCGTTAACTACAGATTGTTTGCAGTTAATTTTTTTGCACAAATTCAATTGAAAGTTAGTGTTTTGTGAAGCACGTGCGTTATTAAAAAAAAAAACACATTTTTGTCTTAATTAAAAAGCGGTTCTATTTATGTGAGTGGAAAAAGTTCGAATTAACTTTGTCTCAATAAGAATCGAAACGCTATTCTTTAACTGTTCCCATCTTTCACCTTTCAAATGTTAGGTATACTTCCGTACTTTCTACTTGGATGTTCAATCGTGACTACAAGTCGTCTCTAGACTACCAGCTTTGAGATAATAGAGCTAGACAAGTTACACAAGCTTGGTCACTTTTTCATAATTTCATAAAAACAACAATAATTTCATTTATGTATTCAAATTTAAAAGTTAAATTATATATTAATTAAACTGGACAAGTGCAATTCGAGTCAAGAGGAACCGAGAATTTCGTACTTTGTAGGCTACAAATACTAGTAAATACATCAAGAGCTTTTATAATATTTGATATAATTGTTCTGCTTGTGATTGTATATTGTAATTTCCGATACAATAATATTGTTTAATGGAATAAATGAAATGAAAAAAAATATATATGGCACTTTACTATGTCTTTGTTTACTATGTCAACTTCTCCGTGCTTTGAAAGGCACATTCCGTTGGTCCCGGCTGTACCTGCAATCGTTAATACCATCTCCGTTGTAGTCTGTTCTTCCTGTTCGATTGATTTCGATTCCATTTATAGGGAAAGCCTGTACCCCAATTAATAGGCTGATGATTAGAGTAGGCTGTTGTTAAAAGCCAAAAAGTAAAATATTCCTAAGGTGTCTTACAACGATAACGTGAAATAATAAAAAAAACTCGATAAAAAAATAACCAATAATATTTTGCATATTTTCTAATTCTTGTTTATATCTTATTTTTAGAAAAAAAAAAAAATAGTCACTTCATAACAGAGGGAATAAAGCACCACTTACAACAAACTTAGATTGATTAATCCAACGTGAGCCTAATGCTGCCCCAATTTTAAAAACTAAGTTTCATTAATTTGCAAACCGCCATTACAATTTAAAAATTTGTTTTTTTTTTTAAACGTAGAAGAATGTTAATTACAAAACAATTGTTTTAAAAACTCATTTGTAGCCTCATGTTATAAACTTCTTCGAGTGACATTTAAAGCAATAACGTACTTTTTGTTATTTGCCTATTACTATTGTAATAATTTTCTCATTGGTTGTTAATTTAGTTCTGGTATTTCTTCAGCATTAACCATTAACTTTGATATTTCTATTGTCTGATTCACTTTTTGATCTGGTTCACTTAAAAATGGTGTTAAGTATGTGAAATTTGTATTGTGCTTTTGTAACTAATAATTCGTATAGAATGCAACGTACAAAGTAAATATAATTTGTCGACGACCTCCGTAGCCGAGTGGTTCGCACGCTGGTGTCAAGGTGGCTACACCTAATCTCTCAGGTCCCGGGCTCAACTCCCCGTTGTTTTGGCTCTGGGTGTTAGTGTTTCTTCATTGTAATTAGGGTTTAAGCTCATCTTGGAATTTGATAAATGTATGTGATGTTTACTAATATTTAAAAAAAACATGCCTCGCCGTCGCAATGTATAAAATAGCTCATTAAGAGGGCGCGTACACCTAAAAACATTAATCTTCAGCAGTTTTATACCAATAAAAATTAGTGTCCCTAGGGAACTGTTTTTCCAGATGAAAAGAGGTAATATAATCCAGGCTTAGAATTATGCAAAATTCAATAATAATCCGTTCAGTAGTTTTGCATGAAGAAGTAACAAATTTAAAAACTTTTGCCTTTACATATAAGTAAGATTATTTACTCCTGTATAAAACAGCTTTAATAATTTAATACTTAATTGATTTGGATATCGATTCATATCCTGATATGGATATAAATACAATGACAAATTGAATAGTAAACAATTGTTACTATGGTGACTTTTTAATTCTCTATACATAAATTTCCACTCCAATTTTCATCTATTTATTTGCTGTTTTTGGGATAAAATATAGCCTATGTTCTCCGCATATAATGTAGATAATATGTAGGTGAAAGAATTTTATTAAAATAGGTCTAGTAGTTTTGGAGCCTATTCGTTGCAAAATAACAAAGAAAAAAAAAATTTTTTTTATAATATTACTAGCTGTTTTCCCGCGACATAGCACACGTAAATTATAGCTTATTTCAACCCCATATGATGTAGCTACCCGTGGATGAAAGGAATTTAAAATCTGTCCAGTGGTTTCGGAGTATATTCGATACAAATAAACAACCACATCTTTCTTCTTTATAATATTAGTATAGACTAGCTTTCCGTCAGCGGCTTCGCCCGAGTGGCCCCTAAGATATTTGGGTATCACACGGATACCCATATCATGACACGGATATTATTACAACGACAAATAAATTTACCGTGATGTTTTCATTCCCTATATAAAACTTCCGCTCCTATTTTCATCCCTTTATTTGCTGTTTTTCGGGATATAAATATAGCCTATGATTACCGTACATATACGCATACTGTAGCTTCCCGTGGGTCAACGAATTTTTTATTATATTAGTGTATAAATATAGAAAATAGTGTGACTTCTGTAGGATAACTTCACAACTTTTAACCACTATGCTTCGATTATATACTTGCAAAGCCATTACGTAACTCTGCTAATAATAAGTAAGTAGAATTATGTTAGTAACACCACCAACCGGCTTTATATCTACAGTCACTGCCCTGTCGCTGACTCAGCAAGTCGCAACCTCGACACAGGAATAGATGCTTGCAATGTAATATGTCATTAACTTATTGCAACCATTAACCAGCTACTTCATTCTTATTTTTCAGTCATCAGCTTCTTCAGGTGACTCTTCTGTCACCTGAAAAGCTAATAACGCTATTACTATAGATAATACATAATACTGGCTACTATATGCCAATCAAATGACAGATTTAACTTGGACATTATTTTCATTTGAAAGGAAACTACGTATTCGCAATTTTTAAGCTCAAGGCATTTCCATTTCAAATTCTTAGAACAATGTGTTTATAAATATGTCAAAATAATCATCTATGTGCTTTGTACAAATTGGTTTTTTTAGACACCACTAAATAATGAACCTCTATAATAGAAA